AGAGCGTGACAAAGCTTTCGCCACTAATATGTGAAAAGATGAAGGATAAGAGATATCTATTTAGTCAAAAATTCTGAAAAAGAAAAATGGCAAATGACTATATGGAACATTGTATAATTCTACATATTTGTATCTTTTCCTCTTCTTATTCTTTATTTACAGACACTATTCTCTCTTTGCCATTATATTTTTATCAAAAATGTAATAGAACAAACTATGAAATATACCATATTTTAATATAAAAATGTAAAATTGGAGATGTGTGAAATATAAAAAGAAAAAGATCTGTGATTGAAAGTACATTCTTTAATTTTTGTATGGAAGCAAATAAGCGATGCGAATTCTTCTTCCTTAAGATTCAACTTTTCCAAGATTGTACTCTGTTGGGTTTTTATGTCTATGGACGTATTAGAGGCGAAAGATTTCGAGCACTCTTCTTCTGTATTTTCCAGTTGTCATATGTGAAGTAGCTCAAACAAAAGAGAGTGTTGGTGCAGAAAGGTCAACAAAAGATTAAAAACACAGACAGTTGCCGAAGTGGAGATGACGTTTAATCGTAAATCAATAAAATTAATGAATTAAATAAATAAATTAAAAATGTTTATACACATATTTATATATATATATAATATATAATATAATATATAAAACATAAATAGGGTCCCGAGAGAGACTGCTGGAGCATATAGCGCGCATTCCTCGCGCCCTTCCGGTATGTTCACCGTTTTTGCTCGCGCACGGAAATCGTCATCGTCGAGGTTTTTGATGAATGAGATCATTATTCGTCTCTAGATACAATTCTTTCCGAATATTCGTCCGACTCGTTTCCATAATATCCGCCTTTCCATGATATTATTAATGTTCCCCCCTTTTTCTTTTCATGATTTTTTAATTAGAACGGAAATAAATGGATACTTCATAAATGCTTCTCCACGTGTCGCGCATTTTAAGGATGGAGAATATTTTTGAGGTCGGATTATTATTCTTCTCAAAAACCTCTCGATCGACTCCGCGTCTCCCGTCTCATCGAGATGAGGATTCACTATCGCTCTCGTGGTTTCCTCCCTTCATTATTTTTTCGCTCCTTCTCTCTCTTTCTCTCTTTTATCTATCCTATATCTGTTTTTTAACTAATCTAATGCGTTAAACTATCGTATTTTACATTAAATTGTTTTTGCCCCATGGTCTCTTCCCGTGACTCGCTCGCAGACTGGCCAATTTCCTTCTCCTCCTTTCGCGCCATTTCTTTATATACGCAATGATGGATGCGAGTTATGATTCCGAAAACTTTGGAATTGTTGCCGCAACGGCATTATTGCTGTTGGAGATCGCCAGTTTCTGATGAAAAATTGACTTTTCTATTTGAAACATTGCCATAATGGCTATATCATCTCTCATGTGTCTAACACATTTTATATTATTATTCATAATTAGAGCTATCAATTATTTCACATCAATAATTTATACGATCATAAAAAATAATGGATTTCTTAATGATTTACTATATTAAAATTTTAGATTTTAGAATGTCATCAAGATTTCATTAATTAGCGTGTTCTTTAAATAATTATTCTTTTGGGCGATTTTATGCATTTTTCCAACACAAATATACCGAAATTGTTTCCATCTTTGTTCTTCTCGAAGCGTAAAAGTGGAACGCGTAAAAGTGGATTTCCATTAAACGCTCGCATTATTTTTCTTTACATTCCGACCTTTCAACAGCAATGAACATGCCGCGACTGCCAAGTTCTCTAGCCTTACGTTCCATGATTTCAATAAAACCGAGCCATGAAACAATAAACTTGTTAAAAAAGAAAAAAAAATCAAAGAGAAAGATAGATTATTTAATAGACCGTAAGTTTTATTCACAAAAATTATTTTCGGCTTATAGAAATTGTTTTAGCAAAATACAAGAAAATAAACGATATTAATGTTTCATTTTTGTTTTCTCACACTCTTTGCTCCAACTAAGTCGGAAGAGAACTGTCTCTGTATAGATCAAAATGTAATTTTATGAATTAAGACTATGTTTCTATGCGAAGTCAAGAACTCTTTATAAAAATTCATTTTCTCTTTAATCTTTTCTCACATTTATTCTCCGTTATTCCAAGGCGCAATCTTATTAAATATCGACGTTCGATATTTGTTCGACATACGTTGATCATTGTGACGTTAAAAGAAAAGCCAAGAGAAGGAGAAGTGAGGACCCTTCGCGCGTCATCCTGATCATCTTCAGATGACAATACGCCGTCATAGTCGCGCTCATCGTCCTTGATCGAGACCCTGGGCTCTTTGGTATTGTTCTCCTGTTCGCGGAGACTCCGGAGAAGTGTGCGACACACACAAGTGCGCGCCTCTCCGGCACGCTTCCACGTCGTCGTTCTCGAGGTCAAGCATTTGCCGTTCGAATTCGCGATAGTCGCTCGAGAGCTCTCCCCCGATGACACGACGCCGAGAAGAGCATCGGGAGAGTCGAGAGATCGATGTGTTCTTTTCCCTTCTTTTCCCGCCCTTTTTTATACTGTCCCCTTTCACAAGCTCATTTTCATATTCATGATCTTTCGCCTATTCTTTCTATTATTTCCATTCTCCCTTTCTCCCACCGGAGAACTTTACGCGGAAGCGCGAGCACGTCGCGTAGTGACATTTTCTAGAAGGAAAGTACTGAATAATGCTCGACGAAAAAAAGAAGAAAAACAAGAAATGGCAGAAACAGTAAAACAAAAAGAATTGAAAAAATATACAAGAAAAAGAACAAGAAAAAGGATAATAAGATAAAAAGTAGAAGGAAAATGACAAATAGAAAAAGAAGAAAAAAAATGTAAGAGTAGCACTATAGTCGTATTGTAATAATTAAAAAAGGTACGAATGCCCGGTCCGAACTGTTTTGGAACCTGTCCCTGTATAAGGAATACGCAGGACCCGTTCTAATGCCCGAGATCGACGGAATCGAAATTCATCTTTTCTAACTTTCTCTCTCTTTTCTTGATTCCTCGCCTAATCGTCTCGTCCCTATCATCGTCTCTTCTATCTTTGTGTCTCTCTCTCTATTTCCATCTAATTTTCTCCATTCGCACGATTTTTCCTCCCCTCTTTGGTCGCGCGTTGGCCCTCTCACGACTCTATCTCGTGGGTTCCAAGTACACCGTAAGGGTAAAAAAAGGGTCTACTCATGTGTTTAAAGGGCCCCGCGCGATTATCGCTAGCAGTAGTACGAGGTAGAGAGTCCCAGCTTGCAGGAAAAGGGCACCCTACGCGGATTATACACACTTCCGGTGCTGATGACGTCCTTCGTCTCGCACCGTAGACCCGTGAAACCCTCCGCGCATCTGTAACAAAAAATTCGAATCGATTAGCGAAATTCGATTTGTATTGAATGCGCAATGTAATCGGATTATACAAAATCATGCTAGAATTGTATTAATATTTTAATATTTTATTCTTTTCTTCTCAAAGAAACAAGAATATAATACACTCTCAGTTTTTTAATTATTATTTATTTAACTATAAATTAAAATAATTATCGGTGAAAATTTTTCATTTGATTTCCTTAACTTTAACGTTTTCCTCTGATTTTAATCTTTATTCACATTGTATTCTTTTATTATATCAATCTGAAACTATCTTTTAACGTAGAATTAACGGAGAAATATAATTAATCACACACACACACACACACACACATACAAAGATATAAATATAAATCGATTTTCCAAATATAAGTCCGCGAACCGGATTATATCTTTAGTTAGGTTTAGTATTAGTTTAGTGACAAAATTAAAATATATATTTAGTAATATCTCTTAATTACTCTTATTTTTATTTAATTTTTATTATCTACGTTAATCCTTAGAATGGGACACCGTCCTGACCAGACTGTGCGTCGTCGTCGCGGCGAAATTTATTAGCCTGTCTCGGGATTTTTCTCGGATGCGTGTGCGCGAGACGAACAGTTTCTTAATTTAACTAAATGTATGCGTCGCATCAGAATCCGCGCGACGGCGTCTTTCGCACGACGGACTGCAAAAGAGGCGCGAGGGACGCGGCCGAAGACGACGGAATAACCGGGGTTTTCGAGAAGAGACAGGTCCCGATGCGTCGTTTCTTTGGAAAAATAATGTTATGTCGTCGTCGTGGCTATTTATAGACCATGGTTAACTAACCACGACGAGAGACGAGTTCGAAGCTACCGCGAAATTAAGAGTCCCAGCGCACGCTCGGACTGCGTTCGGATAAATAAATTATAGCACGTCTCTATATCGTTTTCTCTATACCGTTCCTTTTCAAGCGTCTTCTTTCCATTTTTCCTTTTTCTCGTTCTTTTTTTACATTATAAGCGGCTGTCGCGTCGCCTCACATCAATTTTTTTTTCGATTTTCCAGAAAAGTGTGGGCTAACTTTTATAAGAGTTAATCTAATTTAAAGTCGTACGTTCGCACGTGAATGGACGCATAAATATCCGGCAATAATCGCGCTCGCATCTTTTTTGGCGAAACGTGCTTGCGTCCGAAACGCATATCTCGGGACACGCATCCTCTTAATCCGGCACTGCGGTGGAAGCCCGGAGAGAAGTCTACCTCTGCCTTCTAGTGTCTGGAAGCCCGACGGCGTGCGATAAAGCGTATTTTTGTCACGACAAATTTGGAGCGTCTGAGACTTGGCGCGACGTTTTTATTTCTCGAAATCGCACGCATAGGTAAAACGAGAGCGGAAAAGGAAGAGGAGGGCGAGAGGGAGGAAGAACAACGGAGGGAGGGACGTAGAAAGAGGGAGAGAAAAAGTGATACACCGTTCCAGAAGTGTCTCCGATGGAAAGAAGGAAGATGCTCTTCGAAAGGCAGAAAGAGAGAGCGAATCACGTTCCTCGAGACCTCGTGTCTCTTTCACGCCGCGAACGAACGCCGCGTTTAGATTGTATTAAAAGAGTGACAGGGGACATATGCTAAGGGGTTAACTACGCGATAAGTATGCGTAAAGGCGGGACGACGAAGGCCGCACGTCCGACGACGATATTTATCCGCAGCAACCGGATGGTTGATCGAATTAGACTTTGTCGCGAGTTTTTCGCAGGCACGAAACAGTAGCGATTTTAACGCGTTGCTCACGATTCGAGAGTTTTTTGAGACGCGCTGCCTTTACCGCGATTTACGAGGGCCTATGTTAAATATACCATCTCCTCCCCTCCCTCATGAATTCACTGCCAAACGAACTGAAACACTAGCGCAGATAGCACAATTTACTGTACCATTCACTTAAACCCATTAACGTGTCCCGCTAACTTTGCCGCCAGCCGTCCCCTCCTTCTCTTCCCCCGCCTATTCGAGTAATTGGCTTTCTATTGAGATTTATCGTAATCATGCGTGTACCCGTTAAAACTCGGGAAACTCTTTTGCACGCCGTCGTAAAACAAACTCGACTCGCGAGTTTGTGAAACGAGGAACATTCGTTTATTTGCGAGAATTAGTTAGGATGACACGGAGTTGGATGGAATTAGCTCGAGTCACCAAAAATTCATATCGTGGAGATATTGAGAAAATACATATGACAAATATTAATATTTTAACATATTATACTCTTTAAATTATATCTTTTATTTAACTTACCCGCGAATTAACATACTTTCCTAAATAATTTTTCAAGCTCCGCGCAATTTCGATGAAAATTGGGAAAGTTCGTGAAAAAATTCTAATGTTTATCACACAAATAGACGTCTTCAGAAGCGTTAACCCAAAAATTATTCTCTGTAGTACTTTTATGGATCGCGGGTGGTATAAAATATTCTCGCCAAAAATAATTATGGACGGTCGTTAAAAATCAATTTTTCCCATTGACAGATTTTATAGGGCTGCGTGCTGATATGTGACGCTCATAAAAAAAATCGTAAATTAGCGTAGCTCGTTAATTCAGGATCACGTTGGCAGGATCACGCGAGATTCGTCGGTTTTCTCGCGTGATCGTTCTCTGAATATCGATCGCTATTTCACTTTCCGGGGAATTTCGCGAGTTTTTTTGATAAGGTGTTATTTTGCTGCCTATTTCTCAAAATTTATCGTCACGATAATGTCGAAATAAAAAATCTTTTCCATTATCATTGAAAACTTTTAGAAATTATTAGAATTTCGGCGCGAAAGAACTTACGAAAGATGGTGTGCGAAAGCTATTGTCTTAAATCAATAATCTAGAGAACTTTTCTCAATAGGAAAAAATATATTTCTCTAATATATTATCTTTTTCAAGTATAGAGAGAGAATATGTATGAGAGTTTATCAATGTGATAATAATAAATATAAGATTAAATGTACGAAGAAATTACCGTGATTGTCAAAGATCGATTGATGCTTAATTATATATAGTAATTTAATTATTTAATTTTATATTTGATTATTTATATTTTTATATAAAGTAATGGCCACATAAATATACAATGACCATGCAATGATAAATTTGTTAATATTATTATTATTTCATACATATATTATTATATACTTCTAACTGACAGATTATTCGACGATTAACTCTTTTTCTCTTTCTACTGACACATTTCTCTTATAATTAGTACATAAATTTATTCAAATCAAATAAACATTTCAAGATGACAAGTAAACATACGAGATGCAATCGGTTGATGAAAATAAAAATAATAGTCGGGGAAGAAATCGTGAGATCGAATATTATCGATCTTTATCGATATATACGATCTTCATTAATGAAATCTCCAAATCGATATGTCCTGATTGAATGAATTATCGCTGATAATTACGATTGAATATTCTTGGCCGAATATTCTTATCTTGCAGTGACAATCTGACATTTAAAGGGGCGCTTTTAGAAGTATTTATAATTAAGATGATCTATATTTCATAAGTCAATAAATAATTCAATTGTGTAAAGAAAGATACTAATTAAAATATATAAGATTGTTCAGAAATGTGTCATATAATTTAAAATTTCTCTTAAGAAGTTTTTTCACACATTCAGATTAGATGTAAGCTGTATTATTGCCATTACGCACGTTTTATTCATAGTTCAAAATTTTCTAATTTTCAATATTAACTAATTTTGTTTTTTATGAATCTCGTATCAATTTTTATTTAACGTGAAATTGAAAAAGGCCATTATTGATCTCTCAACTGTTTGATTCTTAACATCCCACACAATTAATGCGTATGTGTATCAAATTCCAAATAAAATTTCGTATAATATTTGGTTAAAATTTATTAAAAAAATATAATTTCGTTATATATTTCTCCTGTTGAAGATTAATCCGTTGAAATTTTTTCAAATTACATAACGGTCCATAACTACTAATTGTCAAACTCGAAATATTCATTCTTCTCCGCAGGAAATGTCATAATTAAATGATATCTTGTATGTATAATTAATCTGAGAGAAGTACTGGCCAAGATGGAAACTTCAAAGTTGCATTTATTAAAATCGTACGCTAACCACTTTGTTTCAACAACAACATACGAGATAAAACGCGCGGTACTAGACGAGTCAAGTTAATTTTACAGAACACGATGCTTTAATCATATTTAAGCCTCGTAATAGCGCGGTCGTGACGAAAGTCGACGAAATGCGCGTACTTTGCAGTAATAACTCAAAACGTTTTTCCACATGGCGGTACGGATTAAAAATAAACAAACCGAACAAAAAACTAATTAAAACACGGAAAATTTGCAAGAAGGGCGCAAAGAAGATATTCCGGCGGATGCCTGTCTTTTCGTGCCAGTCTGAACACGGTCGCTTTCCTTTTTCTAGGTATTAATTAAAAGTAGCACAGCAATCCCGTAGAAAGGCGAGTCGCTTTTTTCGAGGCCGGCATTTAAACGCGTCCTTAAGGAGGCGGCTTTCCTTTTATAATATTTTTTGCAACGATGGCAGATTCCCATAATTGCAGTCGCAATAATGTTACGTAAAGTATTCTTCTAAATGTGTGTCAAACGAGAGATACGACATATCTTTTATGCGACAGATTTTTTTAGATAAATTTATTGTAGTGTTTTAAAACAATCTAACGCATAAAATTTAATTACAAAGTTTAATTAATAATCAATAGAGTGTAGAGGCGATAACCCATCTAGTCAATTTTGGCTACAGAAGAGACGGCTTTGAATTTGTGAAAGAATCTATAATTAAAAGATAATACGGTTGTGGAAAATTGATAAAAATATAATTCTTGATACATATTATATACATGTAGTATCATATTCGTAACTACCTATCTAATTCAACTACCTATCTAATTCAGTTAATTATTTAGATATGGCAATTGAAACATAACGCATTTGGCTGTATGTGTCCCAATTGTGTTGTTGGCAATTTTGCT